AGTCTTGAACTTCTGTTAAATAAAATTTTTTTAAAAAATAATAAGAACAAAATTGACATATTAAAAAAATACTAGCCACCATTCTTTTCGCCGGGGACTGTACAACACCGTAGTAGTCAACACAGTTACAAGTGGTTGGAATATGTACTTATCATAAGCAAACAAATCAATGGGCAAGACCACATCTTAACGATAATTGGAAAAAAATAAAATTTTTTTGATAAAGCGCGTTTCATCATATTGAAAAAGTAGCACAAGGATGAACGACCAATTCATCATATATTGAACAAAAATTCTAAAGGGAAGGAACTCCTTTTTGATTTAAACGAACAACAAATACAAACTTTTATGTTGAATTTTTAGCTCAATATTCCTAAAATCAATTAGATGCTTGGTAAAAAGTAGATGTTCCAGCAGGACAATGACCCCCAAGCATACAAGTAGAGTTGCTAAAGATTATTCAGAAAAATATCTCACACACAAATTATGGGTTGGCCATCTGACAGTCCTGATTTAATCCAATAGAAATTCTTTAAAAGTAATGTTGAGAGAATGTGGTCAAAATTGTGAGGAGTTAAAACGATTTATGATTATGGAAGAGGAATGGCAAAATACTTCAGAAGTGACTCTTATTACTTTAGCAGACTAAATAAAACGAGATGTGGATTAATTATAGCGCAATGGTGAGCGCATACTATATTAATTAAATCTATGGATTGTAATTCTCCGACGATTATGCCATTGGTCCAGATTTGTTCGAAAACTTTGATTGGTTCATTACATATAAGGATTAATCTGGAGTAATTCCAGTCACTCCAGTCTTACTTTCATGACCAGAGTTGAGACTTTAAAAATGTTACACTTGACGTCATAAAGTCGTTGGAAAATTTTTGGCTCTGCAGAATCTCTCATCAGAATTATTCACGACTAACGCGCGGAACAAATGAAAGCACCACCATGCAGAACACTCAAAAGTATTAAGAAAGGTAACTTAGTATTTCTTCATATTTCCAATGTTGGCAAAAAAAGGTTGATCGTACTAAACTGGCTTGTAAAGTTATTCAAGTACGTGAAATGCCAGTTATATACTTAACATCCAATGTTCAAGCGTATTTATTTACATAAAAGCTGCTCACCAAACTTAGTCAATGTTGAAATCCGGAAGCTGAAACTAACCAATGGGTTAGAGAATAGAATCTGATCAACCAATGAAAGATCTCATAAATATATCGTCATGTGTAGTATTATTGTATCATACAAGTACAAATTACTTGTTATGCCAAGATTTACAAATTAAAATGTTTGAACAACATAATTTATAGTAAATCCGCAGTATGTTTAATCTCATCACATCTAACATGCATAAACTCCGAACTGACATACTAGTCTCATAGAAACACCATATCGGTACATGCAGTGTTTATTTGCGAATGGAGAATATTATAACAACATTACATATTGAATCACCAATCAACACTTTGCTGTATGCAGGGAACTCCTCTAACGACCGATGAGGCGGAAACAACCGTTTCTGCTGCAGTTCGATGACCACACATAAGACGAGGAATGCAGATAAAGCCAGGTATTACGGGTGAGTCGAACAAAACTTTGTATAGAAAAGAATATTACTTTCAATTATTTTGACAGAAACTATTGCGCAACTTGCGATTATAAATAGTGAATTCACTCTTTAAATCGAAACGTCACGCCCAACGGCCAAGTGACGCCATAATCGCCGCTCCCACATAGATCGACAGGAAATAGTACACCTTTGTCCGTCCTGGCAGTTTTCGGAACGATGTATTGCCTGTTATCTCTATGGCTAAGAGATTAGCATACGCTGCATATATCAAGATGCCTAATTCGGTGCAATATGATGAGATGAATTCGAGAATCTCAAAAATAAATTACTCGATTTTTTTTTACCTGCAGATACACTATCTAAAGTACCCTGCACCACCAATGCAACCACGCTGTTGGGGTTGTATGACGATGCCAGCGCAATTCCGATTATTATACCCGACGGCGTAGTCAATATGAAAGCGAGGGACATGTATAATTTCTTCAGCCTTGAAATATCCAATTCAGAAATGCGTGCCCCAAGCGCAAAACCTTACATGACATATCAAGAATATAGCGTTAGCGATGTTAATGATGTATAAAATACGAATAATTTTTTTTAGTACCTTCAAAGAACTGATGTAGTAACAAAGCACATAGCAATCCAGCGAATTTAACATCACCAGTTACCCCGAGGGTTATTCCTATGATAATCGAGTGGCATGCAATGCCAAACTCAAGGAGATACGTAGACAGCTTCTGTTGATTCTGCGTAAATGCAATACCATTATGATGATGATGGTGTTGGTGTTGTTGTTGGTGTTGTTGTTGTTGGTGTTGATAGTCATGCATGAGCAAAGCAGTAGCTTCCGTTGAAGCTGTTGGTAATGTCTGATAATGATTGTGTTTTCTTATTGCTTCAGGTAAAGGCTCTATTTTTTCCATTTCTGCTAGGCTGTCGCTATATTCCATTGCCAAATACTCTATCAGATGCATAAATAACCCTGCCAACATTGCAAATAGACCAGCAAATGCTGTATAGTAACTATGAAATGCTTTGGGCAAGCAGGGAGATGTAAGCATTTGAACTGCGCCTGGCAACATATGGATGAATGCAGTGGCTAGAATGACACCTGTACCAAAGTGCTTGCCTGAAATGCAAGGTGAACGTTAATAGCTATACTCGCGACGATGCCTGTAAGATGCAAATGTTGAATTCTGGTGGTGCCCGATTCTCCCCTTACCACAGTTGATCAAAAGCGAAAGGTTGCCGCTTTTTTTCTGGTCTTGGAGGATAGGAGTTAGAGTACCCAGCGTAGAAGCTGTTAACACCAAAAAAACCGATAGCACGTGCACTCCTCGGTCATAGTCTTCTCTAACATAATCATCGCACCATGAATCTTGCAATCAGGATATGTTGCAAGACATTAGTATCAGCTTTATCACCATTTACTCAACTCAAATATCATAATTGACAAACAAACGTAGCACAGACTCTACTCACAACTATCCTCCTCTATAATGGGCATTTCGGCGAGATAAAGATGCACCGAAGATTTCATCGGTGCACCTGCTATCGAAGCTTGGATAAAGATTAGAAACGTTATAAAAAATGGTATACTGTTTCTCATCATTACGATAGGTCCGTTTATGAGAGATGTTAGAATTGTACAAGTCTCCAATATCCTTGTTAGTATTAGGGGTCTTCTAACAAAGTTCCCGGAAGTGAACTTTTATGACACTATGTGCAAGGATAAATATAGCAAAGATTTCCATAACCACGAAGGTCGACTATACAGACTATATACATGTGCGTCATTTATCCTAATATATCTAGCACCTTCCAAATAAGACAAGATGTGTGTCTGAGAAGGTACTCATTTTGAATAATCACGCGGTAGGGCTAAACCATCATGCATGATGCGATTGCTTAACCACTATACCGTTAACGCTCTGAGAAGGAATGCAAACGTTATTGGAGCCGGTGTCTCTGGCCTCACCACTGCACTACTGCTCCAGAAGGATGGATTCCAAGTGAAAATACTTGCCGAACACTTTCCTGGTGACATTTCTATAGACTATTGTAGTCCGAATGCGGGTGCCCAATGGCGTGCGGATAGGAATCTCGAACCTGGTTCCTTTAATGCTAGTAAAAATCTTTAATTTACTTGATTGGTTTACCAGATATGAACTAGAGATTCGAATGCAGATATATGTTTGAACATTTAATTCACGTATGTTTTTTTTATATAGAAATACACGAAAACACTTTCAAAAAGCTCCGTAATTTGATTGATACAGAACCCGATAGCGGTGTTGCAAGCATGACTCTTTATGAATATGATGACGTTGTAGCAGACTCCAAAGACTCTTGGCTCAAAGATTTGGTTCCCAATGTAGTACACATGATTGATTTGTCTCGGATTTTTATTAAATCGACGAGCATTTTGGTTAACAGGATTGATGTTAAATATATCAGTTTCAGGTGATACCTCAATCTCAATTACCGGCTGGAGCCAAACGTGGGATATCTTATACAACAGGTGAGCAACAAATAAATAAATGATGACAGCGATTACATTGCATCACCGTCATCATGCATTACTTTCTATTCTCTTTCTTACGTGCGTTTCACTTTCTAGTGGCGATTGACGTCCCAAAGTATTTGAAATGGCAGTTGCAAAAGTTTACTGATGGTGGTGGGATTACGCAGAGATGTCGTCTCAAACACATCAAGGAAGCATTTGGCGAGAATGTTGACGTTGTAGTCAACTGTACTGGCCTTAGAGCGAGTAATCTTGGGGGCGTTGAAGATCAAACTATGTACCCGACAAGGGGACAAACTATACTGGTACGCGCCCCCCACGTGAAATCTATGAAGACATTAAATGGTAAGGTTTATTTTGTTATCGATATCTCTATATACGAATTTACGTTATGCGAATGTCGAAAAGTTTATACCATTTGGTTACTGTGACTTTGTGGTATAAATTATATTGACTATCAACATAGATGCGAGAGTGTTGTGAAGACTGACATGCGTCCATATACTTGGATGAATGAAATGTTCTTTGTTTAGTTGATAGTGATTCTTCCGGCCATGGTGCCGGTCCAAATCTTAGACGAACTGCTTCCTAACTCCTAATGCACGCATGTCAGTCTATACACTGGTGGGCGAGGGTGTGTACTATGCCCAATTTGTTTCTCGTATTTCGAACTTTATCATCATGACCGCATATCCAATGCAAAACGATATAGCTTGTTGGAGCGCATCGTCATCTCGTCTTTGGCTTGAGCACTCTAACGATTTATCTGTTATACTGTGAATCTCTATTTAAGTGGGTGATGAGGTTACTTACGTCATACCGCGTGGAATGTCCGGTAACATCATATTAGGGGGCACTATGGATAAGTACAAGTCGTAAGTATATAATGAACGAAATGTAGTTGTCACGAAACTAATGCAATGGTATTTGCCAACAACAGCGAGGAGTCGCCAAATGAGGGGATAGCAGATGGCATCATGAGCCGGTGCATCGCACTCTACCCCTCTCTGACAAAGGGTTTCGAAATTATTTCGCATAACGTTGGGCTGCGTCCTTCACGCGTCGAAGGACTGCGAGTAGAAACCGAGACCGCGAGTATGTTATGAGACTATGTGATTGGCATTGTGGTAATTTGGACACTTTTAATAATGCACATTCATTTTAGGAAATGACGATGGCAAAGAGATTATCATTTGCCATAATTATGGTCATCACTCGTATGGTAAGTTTAGCTTTATCAGGTATTGCACAATTAATTGCGATTTATTATGACAAACAAATGCTTTGCGTGTTTACTTTAGGATATCAAACCAGTTGGGGGTCAAGTCAGGAAGCTCTTGAGCTTATCAGAAAAGCTCTGTCAAGCCAAGGGGAAGGTGCTCAGTCAAAGCTGTGAATAAATTCTTAAATGCAGATTGGGCAAATTTTTTGGTTGAGGTTAAGACATTCTGTGTAGGCTGTCTTGATAAATATAGTCAACAAAATTAAGATATATTTATTTCACTGTATGCAAAGTCGCGTATTTATTATTTCCACGATAAAGCAATACATATATGTATTTATCAAAAAAAATAAAAAAATTTTTTTTTAATCAATGCATTGATACGTGCCTTTAACAATATCCCATTTCTATCTACGAATTTATGACGGTACAATTTTTATAACGAAGTTCGGTCGGTCTATAATGAAACTGTTTGACAAATCTTCGTTATTAACAAATTTCCATTATATCCAGAATTCACTATAACCAGATTGACTATGTACCACGTTGTAATTACAAGAATTATGAAAAATGGTCCGATTAGGTGCTCTATAAAAATAAAACAAGTCAAAAATTCCTGATACAAAGCGAGCTTATTTATCAGTTACTCAGACATATCCATGTGATTGCATGTGCGAAGCTGCCCTTGAAGGGACATGCCATGATTGTTTATTAATTAGAGTCAATGATGAAAATCATTACGATGCCCCTCATTCATTACGGAACCCAATCTATTTACATATGCCTATCAATTAATAGACCTCGTGTAGGGAGGATCGATATGTTAAAGCCTTTCTTCGTCGCAACAGAAAGCATGACTACACGTGGATTGCAATAGATTGCACGATTAATATGCTTTAATTTACTTTTTACAGAGACATAGACTTGATGACTGCCAGTGCATCTATTGCAATTGTCGTATCCCTCAACAAAAGTTAACACATTCCAATTATATTGGACTTTTTTATTTCCGAGTCAACAGTGTCGGAACAATGTGTCATTCATTCTACGGACACTCGACCCTAAATTATGAAATAATGTAGTGTCAATTATACATACAGCAAACAAATTCAAAAAAGCCAAGCTTTCTCTCTCACTTACAGTACGTGTCAAGTCGTTGGGATCGTTGGGATTGCCGCCTAATTCAACACGCAATCCATCAAATGGATACGTCCTAAGAACCTGTATATAATAACAAAAACTCGTGAATAAAATTATAATTCCCCTTTCCCAAAACACGAATTGGATTCCGTATTTTTAAATCGAGATATAATACCATTGGCCTCTCAGGCAATGTCAAGTAGACAATTAAGCCGATAGATCCTACTACTCCAGCAGAGATCAACAAGTCTCTTACTGCTTTCCCTGGTGTTGTCTCTGTATAAATGTCTGTAGAAAACAGACTCATAACCTCTTCTTCTTCATGTAACTGCACAATGTACATGTTAATGAATTACACATCGCGTTCGACAAAAGCACGCCTAATCCTGTCTTGCTCTCGTCTCTCACCTCCTCCTCGGAATTCAGCCTCTCCTGCTCATCCCACCACCCAGTTGGCGGCCTCAAACCTCTTGGCTCCCACGGCTTATTCGGATAATCCCCGATCATAGGATCGCTCACACGAGGTTTACCAAATTCCGCATAGTTAGCCCTCTGTTGTCCTAGAGGGGACAGAAACGAAAGTCGAAAGGCAGGTTGAGTTGACAGTATGTGAGCATGACGAAGACTACGACCGAGCGTAGTTAAACGCAGATGCGACATTCCAAAATTTAGAAAGTTATCGAGTTTTTGACTAGGAGATTTTTTAATTGTTATCAGATTTGATACATTGCAGATCTGTAGATTGTCTACGTAAACCTGAAACCAAAATTTAATGCTCTAAATATAAACTTATTATTATTATTATTATCTATACCAATAATGACCGTGCCTGCGAAAGTTTTCCGTTCTCTCTGCCTCGCAGCCACCGGGATAACAATCTATTTATATTATTATACGGCCTTATGTAACTGGAAATGGAAAGGTAGATATATTAAGTAATATCACATTTCGATCCTTATTTTTTTTTGGGAAAATCTAATTCTCATCTCCCACTTATTAGCTTCTTCGACAAGAATACTCTTCCTAGCCGACCCACAACTAGAGGGTGATGCAAAGCTCTACAGGGATGGCAGATTAGGTAAAACAGTGACAGTCCTTTTCCATTGGCATACACACAGTCAGAACTCGCTAACATCCCCGAATCATTCTCAGGCGAGCTTGACTTGAATTTCAATGACTATTATTTTCGTCATGTCTTTACTTCGTTCGTATCGCCATTTTCGCTTTTCGGTCCTCCCCCAACGCATGTTGTGCTGTTGGGTGATCTGTTCTCTAGTCAATGGATCGATGACGTGGAATTTGAGAAGAGGGTTGAGAGATTTAAATGGATTTTTGGCGATAATGTGAGTTCACAATGACAGAAACGCAAAGCGATATGAGCAATCAGTGTCAAATATGTTTTATAACTAGTATTAACGAATTTTTCTGATCATAATGACGCTAGAACTACAATCACCATTTGGTAAATATGTCTGGCAATCATGATATTGGATACGGAAGAGATATGACTCGTTACAGAATTGATAGATGGGAGCGTGTATTCGGCAAAACGAACTTTTTCTTTCGCGTTCAAACACCAATCGGTAATTCTCCAACCAACGCCCATCACCACCCAGCCTCGCCGCCTGAACACATATTTGCTGTTATCAATTCACAGAACATTGATGGACCAGCTTGGGACGAGGTACGCGCATACATTACGGGAGGATTGCGGTAACAAAGTAACAATATGAGCCTGTGATATAAAGATATTATCGAGCATGTCAAAATGCTGCTGCTGACGAGAGCGAGTTATATTATGAGTTAGGTGCTGCGATCAGAAACATGGGCTTTTCTGAATGAACTTGCAGCTGAGAGAGAGAGAGACAATTACAAGACGCCTTTGGTTTTGTTGACTCATATACCATTACACAAAGAAGCTGGGTTGTGTGTCGACGGGCTCTTTGTGTGTTATGATGAGTAAGTCAGAGTGGGGGCGCAATTGGCCATTGTATGTTTAGTTGTCGAATAATCTTTTAACATTTATAATTTTTTTCCTAGTTTTAATCATATAACAGAACAAAACCATTTGACTCCTAATGCGACCAATTTCATCCTTACCAAGTTACGTCCACGGTTTATTTTTGCTGGACATGATCATGAAGGATGTGATGTGACATATGACGTTACGTGGAGTAAAGAGGAAGGCAAGGATGAAATCACAGTGGAGGCCTATCTGACAAAGGATTATAGTCAGGCCACGGCCAGAAAGAGCGAACGATATGACGATCAAGATGGCAATCTAGGTGTGCGTGAAGTGACAGTGCGGTCTGTCATGGCTGGATTCGGTGGGAACGCTGGGCTGTTTGAGATTAGATATCGCAACGGAGGTAAAAGGAATTTATTCTCATTCTTGAATTTACGTCACCGCTTATTAAAACCCCACTTTTTTTCTACAGCCTTCCAGTATGCTTATCAAAATTGCCCATTTGTAACCAATCATATCCCATGGATAATAATGATACTTGACGCTATTTTGATACTTGTCTGGATTTTTATGAAGGTCTTTCTGTCAGCGTGGAACAAAATGCTTGTAGAAGGTGTGCCACCTATAAAGAATTAAATTTCATTAGCTTGGCTTGGAATTCCAGCGTCATTGCGCATAAATATTATGCGTGTAATATGAAACTTTAGAAATTGTGCCGCAACTCACATTCTCGGCAGATAGCATCACTGCAACATGTCTATACGCTAAATGTAAAGCTCCCCGAAAATTATGTTATAATATAATTCTAGTTATTATCGTCTTGCTTTGCTTGGTAGGGACAAGTGTGAATTTCAAACATTCGATTCGCAAGATCGATAATTAGATTTCTACATGATTTTCGCGAGTACCGTCATATTCCACAAATTATCGAGTCACCGTTCTAATTTGTGCATGTCTCAAAAGTCGAAATGTGCAGCGTTACCCAAAATTAGATGTAACATAAGGTTTTATTAATATTGGCTTCCCCGCTTGGATGTCATCAACAGAATTTGCGCATGCATAAAACATGTGTGACAAAGTGTTACCTAAAATTAGATGTAACATAAGGTTTGATTAATACTGCATATAGAACGGCTTTCCCGCTTTGATGTCATCAACAACGCATTGCATAAAAACACGAGTGACAAAGTTATTGTATTCGCGTTACCCAAAATTAGATGTAACATAAGGTTTTATTAATACTGTATATAGAATGCTTTGTCATCAACAGAATTTGCGCATTGTTGCGCCCTGACCATCAATTATGTAACGATGATACGAATTTACGATCGTTGTAATTGTCATCAATTAGAACAAAGTACGGAATTCCTTGAAAGATCTTCAACTAATAAAAATATTATTAATTTTCCCAATAATAGTATTGTTCTAATAATAGTATGTTGTTTCTGTCAGGCAAGTAAGTGTGCTTGTTCCTTGGCCCAAAAAATGGATACAATATAGATTGCAAATTTTTCACCGAAGGTATTTCCGAGAAGAATACACGAAACTCGGAGACTGAGTTTACGTCGTATACACTGCAATAACCACAATGTTTACTGAGAAATTTGTATTAAATAAATTTATTAAAATCGGAACCAAATAAGGGGAACACAAAAATTTCATAGACAACGTATGTATTGAATGATTAGCGAAATTGTCGGTATTATTCTAACATCATTAATTACAAAGTCGAGTTTCCAAGAGTCTTAGATTCAGTACACAAGTCCCGTTCTTCAGTACTTGCCGGGAATAACTACTCTACATCCCTTAGTACTAATTCCAGTGTTGCATTTCTTAGGATCGGTACAGCAACGTATACAGTACAATTGTGCGTCGGGTTCTATTAATTGCACAAACTTCTTGGATCCAGCACAGGATGCACCACGGGGAGCCTTAGTATCATACTGACCGCCACCATCGTCTGGACTCAAACCATACTTTCTTCTGTCGATTCTGCCCGTAATTTGAACGTAGCCTGGTCCAGTAGCGTAGTTTACCGTCTTGATAAATCCCTTTGGAAGAGTGTTGGCATTGGGTGCGTTAGGAGTAGATTTCGTGCAAAATGAAACAGCACTATTTTCGCTAGCGGCAATGTCGCCACCGAATTGTCGTGGAAGAAGTAGACAAAAGACCGATTTACTATCTATCGTAACGGTCTTTCCCAAACGGATTGGAGCTGCAAGAGCCAAAGCGACAATTGCAAGGAGGAGAACGAGGATTCTGAGCTTCGTGTTTGCCATTTTTTTTTTTGTAAAAGTATTCGATTTTTGTAAGAGTTTCTATACGGAAGCTTCTCTCCTAATCCAAGATCCGGGAATGTGCACTTAAAGTTCACCTCTGTTAGTAAAGGTGAGTTGCACCCCAAGCGCATTCCCAGGTTATATATAGGCGTCGAGCATACTAAACGTTACATAGGAATGACAAAGTATATTTTTGGAATGACTTATATTTAGAACAGCGTCGTGATCGATTGAGACATCACCCGACTTTCCGGTGACAATCATGCATTTTAATTGCTCTACTTTTATTAGTATTTCCAAATTGACTCTTTGTGGGGTCATGCAGGTCATGCAGCATTATATTAGATTTGATATTATTTGGGTAAAAGATCATCAAGTCTAAAATTTGTATTGCGCCAATATAACGTCAGGTGATCTTAAAGACGGAAAAGGAATTTGTTAACTAGATCTAGATTTTTTTAATGGATATTAATATATCAATACCCTTATTATTTGTCCAACTTTCTGTTTATGACGTTTAATGATGATTGCAGTTTCCTGCGCAACGTAAGTTTTTAATATGTCTATTTTTAGCATAGAAAATTTACCCATAATATTTATTTAATAATGATGAGCTACATTCAGGGTTCAGCTACTATTCTAAGACATATACGAGCTATACTGAATTAGGTTCAGAACAGCCACAAAGAAAAATATTTTTCGTTAATCAAAAAAGGGGGGAGTTGCTATAAAGGGAAATTCTTGTCGGTGTCTGTTGGAGTGAAGGTCTATTCTAGTCTCGTTCTAAACATCTTCAGTTTCCACCTTGGCAAAGCTATATAAAATCTATATTTAGCGTTTCTATAATTGTAAGTCGTTGTTGACGTTTCAATGGGGTATTCCGTTTGTCGAAGAATTCGCAAATCTCATGCTCGTGTTTTACTTGTGGAAAAACAAAATAAAAAAACTCGATTATTATTGATGTGTGTTGACATGTATGTATTCTATCTATAAACCCGAAACAAATTAGAAAGCATTAGACCCTTAATATTAAATTAGATTTAATATTAATCGACAGGATAATGCTGCAGGTGATACCAATATTAATGGCAAGTTGTTTGGTTCAGCTGCCATAATAATTCCAAGTCGAATCAGTTGATTGGATGTCCTTGACTATCAAACATTCTAACTTGCGTGAATTTATTTTTCCACCATTTACACAGCAAGGCCAGACTTACTACAAGAAGGTAACGATATTGTGGAGAAATTAAGCCTCTCCCGTTATCTTATAGAATTCTGTTACAATTCGCTTATACGTGTCTTTGGCGACAGTTACACTATCTAAATTTTATTCAGCGATTTAAATTTACCCTTTTTTTGTAACACATCGATCTCTTTGAGTACCACTTTTGTCTTGTATAAAAGCCTCCCATCTATATTAGGGAAATTCTTTGCAGAATGTCTTTACCTCTGTTTTGTTATAAATAGATTACATTTAACCCAACTCATCGTCTGCTATCACACAGTGACGACATCTGATCAACGGATTTACATGATATTAATACTTTATGCTTATTCCTGAATTGGGTCAGAAAGCATTATCGGAACAAGATTCTTCTTGCATGACAGGAAAATTTGTGATAAAAACTGCGCAATTCCAAATCACTCCTCTGATAGAGGAAAATAAACGGAGTTTTTTCAACACTAATATGGTACATTTGTACTATTCGAGAGAACAATAAAAATAACGTATGCTTATAGATTAATCTTATAATATACTTTCAGGCGTTTATCCATCGAACTACTAGTTTTCATTGTCAAATTACTTGTTCAGAGTTCAGAGTTTAAATTTCAAACAGTTTGTATAAACTTGTTCAGACTAATTGGTAAAACAATCGTTATAACAAGATCTAGTAATAAAGATTTGCTTTCAACGAACGAATAATCTTTTGCTATAAGTGCTAAAGAACGAAAATGGCTAGTTGTTATTATTATAGACTTGTGCCTCCTCTAAATACAATGTTATTAAAACAAGAGAGTGAGCAACTAGAAGAAATCAATTAGACAAGACACCAAGTTAATTGCCTTCGAATAATAAAAAAGTTTTTATCGACTTAATGCTTAAGTAGATTTACTGTTGTCTATTCCCTTGTTAGTAAAAAATTCGTCAAATTACATATTCGAGTGCTGAGATTCAGGTAAGCGAAAGACGACAAGGCATTAGCTTATAGGAATAGAAACGTGTCGAAGCGAAATGTAAAATGCGACATTGATGAGCAGGTTGGTTTATATGTGGAGTATTAAGTAGCACGTGCAAATTAAACACAGCCTCTCCACGGTCACAAGTGCGTTATACAGTATTCACAAAACTGGTATGGTAGATCTTACAGTAAAATATCTTTTATATAGTATATTTATATCTCAATATTAATCGTAACCATTGTTATTCGTTGTTTGTTATAAATTAAACATCTTAACAGGCTACTCTTGTCTGATAATCGATGTGGTTGCAGAAAAGCTAAACAGAGATGTAACAGTTGATGCTACAAAACCAGTGTTAACTGTGAGAATAAGTGAAGTGTTGAACTTACGTTAATATTGACGTTGTTCTGGCTATATACTTTAATGAGAAAAAAACTTTATTTATTACATAAAGCAGCAATATAATAATAATAAAGGTAGTTTACGGTAATAATAATCGCAAACTATTACATGGAAATTGGTTGATTGAGATAAGTAAAAACTTTAGGGGTTTGACGGGATTTGGGATTGTATACGACAAATTCAATAAGTCGGTCTCTCGATTGTTCAATTTTGGCCTAAGAAGGCCAAAACTTCTAATATTTAAAATCTCTCGATAAATCGGTCTATCATGCATGACCGATTTATCGAGTTTATATATCAATTCTTATTTAGTAAATTTTCTTATTTACATAAAATTTTTTTATTCGTTATTTTCAATTATAAATGCACTCACTCTTTTATTATAAATTGTTGCAACTCGGCCAAATTAGTTGATATTTGTAATTCTGTGTTCCTTTTGATTATCTTTGATAAAATTCGAATTGGAGCTGTTGGAGAGCCGAAAAATGACTTTTGTTTTAAGAATTCTTTGGCAAACCCAATTCAGATTCCACACGAGCGATGATTATTACATCTGATTTACGTGCCGGCGGAGTGACGTTCTCCTAAATTTATCACTGGGTGAACAGTAATGACTGTTTACATGTGATTAAATCAGTTGGAGATGTTAGATCATAGATTAGCATCCAGAGAATAATTACAAGCAAATATAATTCCTTTCGAGTTTGACATCGATCGCACTCAGGACAAAACAAGTGCGCCGCTTGGTCTAAATAATGTATTTTTATTCCAGTCAAACAAGGTGCGTAAATCTTAAAATATGTTACATACACTACCCTCGGAAAAGTGTCCGGCCAGCTAAAGAAAATTTAAAAATTTTTAATACAATATTTAATAGTTTTCTTGATTTTAAATGCATGCTTCAATTCTATGTGGCATGCTTTCTATAAGTTTAGTATAAGTTTCAGACAAAATTTCCCTCCATACTTATTGTAATACTTCACGAAAATTTTTTTGATTACAGAACGTTTATTGCGCCTTCGTTCCGTAAATGCTCAATCGGGTTAAGGTCTGGAAATTGAGAAGGCTAATCGGGAAGTAAATTAACCAGCAATTCGCGAGCCGATTACTCGTCTGCACATTTTTTTTTAAAAAAAAATTGGAGTTTATGTTTTTGTTTATTACAACTGATCTATGCGTAATTACACAAATATAAACATATGCACATAGTAGGGGGTTTACTCAAAAACAAAGATTTCGGTTAGTTAATATGTCCAATCTTAAGAAATTTAAAAAGAGCTTGGCCGGATACTTTTCCAAGGGTAGTGTACATCATAATGTTGTGCAATAAGAATACTTCTCGCCATGCGTATTTATTGAGAAATAAATACCAGACTGGTATTGCTCGGTAAATGCATGTGGAATTATTACATAAACATACGTTAACCGTTCCGCGATTATTAATAAATAGCAGCGACTGTAATTCAAATTTATTTTTCATAATGGCTTGAACAGTGTTTGGTGAAATATATACTTTTATAATTTAATAATAATAATGTCACGTACGTGTGTGCAGTAATAATAGAAAATACAGTACAATATAGTAGAGTGCGCGCGCTCAGCAATAATGTTCACGTTAATATATAGAATGTCTGCTATCAGGGCAAACAAATTGCTCATATTTAATCATCTTTACATCACTCGGAAATGTTTCAAATTTCGAATTACTTTCCATAATGTCTAGATTTTCTTCCGGATATAAACAAACCCAATAAAGACGTACATATCGCTTAAATAGAGTTAAAGTTAGACTAATTGAATAAATCTTGTCATGAACAATAACCATACTTACATTATCACGGATAGCAAATTCTATAGAAATGTTATCTTCAGACAAAATGTTAACGGCACAAGGTAAAATATATTCAGCATATTCACTGCTAACTTCAACGTCTATAATACTTTGCATTTTTTCAGTTGATGTCTTTACCGTCGTCTACAAAATCAAATGTTTGTATTTAACGTAAATTAATACCGCAATAAACAATGCTTATCTGATACTTACTACAATCGTAACTGTCAACTTCCCACTATTCCACAACAAAATGCTGAGTTTGTATTTATTTGGGGGTACTTGGAATATGGGTATTGTTAACTAGTATATATTTGTTTATTAGTTATCATACAAAACAATTGATGATTGTATTGATAATTATAAATTAGCCACTTACTTTATTAGACGCAATAAGGTACAAATCTCCCCGAACGCTATTTATATTGAATAATAAGCATTAGTAACAACATATTATAAAATAGTTATTTTAAATTACTTACTCATATACAGTGCATTTATCAGTATCTTCGATATGACTTTCAAATGCAAAATGTGCTTTCAAACAACCTAATTATAATGATAACAATAATAACAATAAATATAA